TGTTTTAATCTTACCAGTAGCAAAACCATCAGAGTCCTTACAAAGTCATTTTTGTGTGTCCTCACTCAGTAAGTTTCTGAAAAACTATTCATGAAACTAAATATTATATGTGAATTCTGTTATTATCTATGAAATGAACTGCAAATTTTAAACATATTTTAAAAGTAATTTGTAATTTTGGGTTTTGGATTAAAACTTCCTTGATGAAAAGTTAATATCCTCGCAATAATAACAATAAGCAATCACTAAGAAGCTCCCAGGATGAATGACTAAGTATGGAAGTAATCTTTTTTCCCGTGAACATACCTCATAAACATGTCTTACAGAATCAAAGAGAAGCTCTCTCAAGTAAACTATGATAATAAGAATTTCCCATTCAGCATATATTAAAAGTTCAGCAAAGAGAACATTAGTACTATGGCACATACAGAAAATACGTGAGTCCTATCGACATTACATTTTTACATTCAGTGTAATAGTACTATAAGGAAGCCTCGAAACTGTAGTATGCCGAGTTCTAAGACTCTGAAAGGATGTGGAGTGCAAAGCAAGGCTAAACAACAACGAGACACACTTACCACATATGTCAGGCACACTGGTACCTAGGGGACAATTTCTAAGAGCAGAAGACAGACAGCTTTCTGTAGACTTAAACAGCATGTTTTAGAAGCTACTTACCTGGTACTTTCTCTTCCTTGTAAGTATCCCCTAGGCACTTACTGTACTGCCTGGCAAAAAATATCACTCAATCCATGACTACAGACTAACACATGCAATGTAGGAACCATTTGGTTTGACCAACAGATAAAACTGTAGTGTTGTCAATGGCAGTGTTCTCAGCCTCCCTAATGCTGAAACCCTTTAATACAGCTCCTCATGTCATGGGGACACCTAACCATAAAATCATTTTGCTGCTACTTTATAACTGTAATTTTGCTAATGTTATGGAACTGTAATGTAAATGACTAATATGCAAGATATCCAATATGTGACCCCTGTGAAAGGATCATCGATTGACAAGGGGTAGAACTAACAGGCTGAGAACCACTGCTCTCTGGAAAATACAATTAATATGGAACTGGGAACAGATGATGTCCTCAAAGTAATACAAAACATACTTTTTGATGCCAGCCCTTCTCTTCCAGTTTAACTCAGTTATTATTGTATAGGAGCCTAGTCTCCATGGAAAACTACTACTCACCCAGACAAGATAGTGAATAATAATGGAATAATAATAGCAGAATATTTCACTTTATTAAAACATACTCCTTAAAACATTGAGTGTTCTTTTTTCCCCCTCTTATAAAGCACTCTCATTTAAAATAGCATTAACACAGTGGAGTACAACTCAACTGTGAAGAAAAATAAAATTATGAAATATGCAGATAAATGGGTAGAACTGGAAAAAAAAAAACTAAATGAGGTCACCCGAGCTGAGAAATGTAAACACTGAGTGTTCGCCTCAAATTCGGATTCAGCCTCACATCTATTGTTTTGTGTGTTTAACTTAAGTGTGCTAGTGGAAGCAGGAAACTAGAAAGGAGCCTGTGGGGTGCTTTAAGAGAGGGGGATAGTAGATTATAAGTAATACAAAAGTAGAGAGGCAGAATTCTGCAGGTGGAAAGGTTTAAGCAGGGAGTGGTGTGGGAGTATAGGGGAAACCAGGAGAAAGGGGGGATGGAACCTCCCAAAATATACGCAAGCCCGCATGGAAACCTACTATCTCACAAATATAATCATAATTATAATAATAATAATACCTAAAGGGATTGATACATGTGAGATAAAAGAAGAAGGGGCACTTGGGTTAAAAGATGAAGTGGGAATGGCAGTAGCAGGAGGATGAGGAGGATGGAGGAGGAGGATGGAGGATGGAGGAGGAGGACAATGGAGAATGGAGTAGGGAGGAGTCTGTGGATTCCATGGTTTTACCCAGCACCGGATCATATATGTTGCAATTTGAACCTTGCAGGCAAGGTATGCCCACTGATGCAATAGCGACATGAAGGTCTGAATAAGAATGGTCCCCATAGGGCCATCTATTTGACTGCTTTGCCATTGTGGAGTGGCACTACTTGAGAAGGATTAGTGGGTGTGGCCTTGTGGGAGGAAGTATGTAACTAGGGATGGGATTTGAGGTTTCAAAAGCCCATGACAGGCCCACTCTCTCTCTCTCTGCTGCCTGAGGATCAGGATATAGAACTTTCAGCTACTTTTCTAGCACTGTGTCTGCTTGTGTACTGCCATGCTCCCAGGATGATGATAATGGACTAACTCTCTGAAACTATAGCAAGCCCCAATTAAATGCTTTCTCTCGTAAGAGTTGTGTTGGTAATGGTGTTTCTTTACAGTAACAATGACCACGACATGGGGTAAATAATCACTTTCTGGTTGGATTTGAGGCCTGCTCCACAAGAGGGAATTTCATGCCTGGAATTTCATACTGTAATCCTGGACAAAATCTCAGGTCTTGGGTGGAGGGGGGACAAAGGGCCTTGGTGCTCTCAACCTTGGCTACAGAAGCTTCTTTTATTAGTGGGCAGTAGTCAAGGGGGAAGCACAAATGCACAGGGTGCTGAGAATGAAAGACTTGAGTGCTCAGATCCAAACAGGACATCTGTATCAAGGTCCTTTCTCCAAGGCTCAGGGAGCATCAGTGAAGAGAAGGCAGAAGCATGGTAAGAGCTAAAGGATGTGAAGATTGCTAAGAGGCATTCCTCCTGGACACAGTGAGACTCTGCATTCACACACTCATAGTAGCCGTCATACCTGTACAAGATCAAACCAGACAAAATTCTGGCATTGATGGGGTAGATCATCAATCTCCAAGCCTTACCCCTTACTGAGGAGCTATTGGCAGTTGATAATTTCTGGGAGAGAGAGAGGAAGAATCACTCTTTTTTTGAGGATGTGGTCACTGGCAGGAGTCCCATGCTCTCCAGTGGATAGCCCCACATCTCTGTATATACGGGCAGCACTAATTGGACTTAGTGGGTTATAAAAAAGATGCGATTGGGGTGGGGATATTGTAAGGAGCAGGCCCTTAGGCAGGACCAACTCCATTTTGTAATAGGAAACTTGTAAGACATGTCTGGACATGTCTGGTACTTGTAAAGGCAAGTCTGGAAATGAAGCTGTGCTGAGATAACCAGAGACGAATGGTTATCTGCCATGTACGTCATCAGAAACTCCAAATTCAGCATAAAAGAGGAGCCCGTCCGGAGCACTTCATCATACTTGTAGCCATGACTGGCCAATGTGATCCTCTGGACAAAGCCTCCTCAGCACCCGGTCATCAAAGAGTTAATTGAGAGACCTATGCCTCCAACTTCATGGCCAAGCTCCGACTTCAAACTGAGAGACCAATGCCTTCAGCTTCTTCGTGGTCAAGTACCCTACAAGGTCAAATTATCTGGAAGCCACAGCCTGACCCTGCCTTACCAGACTCCGGACCTGTAACCCAAAACCAACATAAGGACTCAGGTCGTATAATCCATGAATGAATGATGTGTCTATTGCTATGCTTATTTCTTTGGTAATTAGCAACTTATTAGCAACTTATTATTTGTGTTAACTGTGCATATTGTTAGGGGCAACCTATAGGAAATGTGACAATATCTTGTTGTAGCAATAGCCTTAGCATTTGTGTTTGTGTTTGCTTACTATGCATTATCATTAAAGAAGTAACTGAACAAACTCTCTGTCTCTTGGCGTACTCTCTTCCCTCTCGAGGAGCTGATGATTTCACAGTCAAATCCAGTATACGATTGATCCCTGAGTGGAGCAGGACCTGTCGCTCCTCTCCCTGCGGGAGATTCAAACCCCTTGCTCATAATAGATAAGAGTCCCTGCTCTCGACAGATATGCTGAGGGAAGACAAGGGAAGAATCTGGGGAAATATGATCATATTTTATAGTATACATGTATGAAATCCTCAACAATAAAAATGCTTTATAAAGCATTTCCCCAAAATTTCTTATTCTGAAAAATTTAAATTGATAGAATTTGTTAATTCTATCAATAAAACTGAACCCCAAAAGACATCATAGTATACCCACCACCATCTTTTCCTTATAAAGATCCTGCTTAAAGTCACATGGCTGCTCCACAAATGGAAGCCTACAGGTTCAGACACTGCCTGGTATAACTCAGTGGGCTACAGCCCAGGGCCTAGGCTCATACAGTCAAAGCTTAGAAACAACTGTGAAATATCAGGCCTCCAACTTAAAATTCAAATGTATTCTAAAATCTGCATATTTACATTATAAAATGTTTCTTATCCAATATGACACAGAGAGAAATGTAAGTCATAATTTACACTTACCCAAGTCACAGATTTTCTCATACTGAAATAACTTAGTGACATAATGCATCTCCCTGGTTTAAATAAACAACACAGCCATTACGCTCCTGAAGTCTGCAATACCTTGTGGGAATTTTGTTAAAAATATAGAGATAATGTGTGATTATAATATGGAAGAAATTAAAAAGCTTGAGGTCATAATTTTTCACTGAGAAACACTTTAGTCTTTTCTCAAAAAGGATGTAAAGTGTAACGAGGACTTTTTTTCTTTTTACTTTTAAAATAATTCTGTGGAAGTTCTAGAAAAATAATTTTGTTTTGTGCAGCAGTACACACTCTATAAAATTGGTTAGAAAGCTCCTCCTGCGTCCTCTAGCTTAACCTGTAAGGAAAAGAGTAACTTCTGTAGTGAGTCTGGACAATGTACAACCAACCATCTAATGCAGTCAACAGCAACAAACGCACAAGACCTGCCTGCAGGAGAGCTTAGAAGAAGTAAGGAAAACACATCAAATTGTCTTGAAGGGCAACTTCCATAGAACAGAAGGGCTTACGTAAACGTGTCTGGTTACTATGCAAATGATTCACTGTGGAAGCAGTGGGGTTGACCATAGGCTTCTCCTGTGCCATGTGCCATGGGCCATATGCCATGTGCCTTGAACAGAAACCATATCCAGGTCATTCACGAGATACTCACAGAAGGATTGTACGAAGGTTCCAGTATCACCGGTAACGACATTTTCCCTTGAAGATTCAACTTTGTTAAATAAAAAATCTTTTCCCCCACAATCTTTTCTTTCTTCATGCGATGGACACCATATAGTCTAAACCTAACTGCATAGTTTCCAATCATCTCGGATTCAACGTGGTTAAATTTGAATGTTTCTGTGAAGACGGGGCACGGTCCTCTCTGGATGCTGGTTTTGGCTCTCTGTTTTTTTATAGGTAGAAGAACAAGGTGTACCTGCCATGAGTTGCCACCTGTCCTGTTATATGTTGGAATGTCTGTGACAGCTGTCACCGTTACCAGAAGCTTCTGTCTTTCAGAGTCATAGTCGAAAGTCACATCCAATGTGCCATATTTAGCTTCTGGCTCTGGATCAAAAGGTTTAGGAAGCTGTGAGGAGGATCCTTGAGCTGACATGTCCTAAGAAAAGTAAATTTAAATGCTTTTAGTTTTAACCCTATTACTTTATTTAGTATGCACAAAGATGTCAATTTCTTTTAGAGTATGACATAAAAATAGTATCATGAGGAATGCATAAACCAGTCAACTACAGGCAAAAGTTACCTTACAGGGCAGAGTAATTGAAGTGGTAAAATACTTCACAATGAAGACATCTTGTGAGTGTAATATTCACTATCACTGTTTTGAGAAAATTGGATATATGTCTGTATAAATTAGAGTTTAATGTGCATATTAATGTCATAGCCTTTGCTTCTGAGGGAGGAGTCTACAGAGAAAAGCAAAGTTCAGTGCTATAGAAAAATATGGCTCAACTTCAGGGATGTCTAAGATGCCTTCAGCTGAAATAGAATATACACAGTAAGACTCTAAAGTCAGTGGAAATGGGAAACCTGAACAGAAGTGCAGAGGGCTGAGGACAGTGTGCATCCACAGTCACTCCTCACATCAGAGGCATGTTTATCTCAGTTTCCAATTAGAATTCAAAACAATTGTGTTTTTCTCACATTCATTACCAATGACATGTCGAAATACACATTTCAAAAACTGAAGAAAGGCTAAAACTACACATGTAATTATGACATGGTCAGAAACTAAGACTATTTTACCAATAATTGTCTCAAATTCCTGCTAGTCTAACCACCAGAGATATCTGGGGACTCTTACTTAGTTACTGACAATCTTAAACCAGGTTTCTGACCTGTAAGGTACACACTATGACCCTTCAAGTATTTAATAAAATATAAATGATTTTCATTTAAAAATTTGGACTACTGTCAGAATGTCCCAAAGCTTCCTAACCTTGGATTTAGTGCCATTCAGAGAGCATACCACCATCCAGTGTCTCTCTTGAATATGCTTATTGTACAGTTTAGCAGATGGAGGCTCACAGAGCTCCTAAGCTCCTATCAGAAACACCTAGATCAACCTTGCAGTGGAAGTGCTTACCTCCCATTGTCTTTCCACAAGCAGGCAAGCAGGTAGTGTGTTGGGTCAGTTTCATCCAAAAGGACAAGGACAGTGCTCTAGGGAATGGTAGCTTTACATAAGGGGCTGGGCCCTGAATGAGGTCATTATGCAAAGCATTGCTTAACTAGAATGTGAATGAAAGAGAAACAAGCTTCTGTGTTTTTCAGTCAACCCAGCACTGTATGCTAAGCCCTATGTGCTAAGTACTTGGTTAGCTAGCTTGAGGCAAAAGGCTCTTCTTCTGCTCTTTCTTCTCCTCTTCCTTTTCTTTTTCTCAAAAGGCTCTTCTTTAAGCCACAAACAACAAAGAGACTGAAGTCTCTGTAAGTTTTATACAGTCCTTGTTATTATATATGGAAAACAAGAACAAGCTTTTATAAAAAGACATTCTTTAAATTGTCTTGTATGTATATGCGGTATGTGTTTGGTGTATGTTGTATGTGTTTGCTGTATGCTGTGGATGTTTGGTTTATGCTGTATGTGCTTGGTGTATGCACATGTATTTGGGGATACATTCACTCAGACACAGAGGTGAGAAGGGTATGTTCGGTGTCCTGCTTTAACAGTCTCTACTTTGTCTCTCAGGGAGGTCTCTACTGAGCCAGGAGCGTGTTATGTTTTATCAGGCTGGCTAGCTAGCAAGCCTCAGCAAGCTTCCTTTCTCTGCCCTCAGCAACAGGGTTGCAGGCACACAGCTTTAAGTGGGTGCTAGAGATACAAACTCATTTCATAATTGTGACTTATAGATTATCAATATATCTGTATTTCAATTTAGTATTTTAAAAGTAGCCTATGACAACAAAGATTTTTAGAAAACAAAAAGTTTATAAGGTCCTAAAACAGCTATTTCTGGATTTTTGTTTCTGACACATTCTAACAGTTCTTATAAATACAGGTGGAACCTTTATATGCTAAAGTTACTGTTCCCATTCTTCATAGAGGTACTAAGAAAACAATCCTTCACTTTAGAAGTATTAGGGTTGCACTAGTTGCAGGAAGCCTTCAATGGAGCTAGTTAATCAACTTGTTACAAGAATTCTCTGATGAATGATAGTTAATATTACAGAGATATGAAATAAACTTGGAAAACATAAACATTTTATAGTAGCCTAGGCTATCAAAATTTCACATTTAAGCATTCATCCAATGTATACTTGATGTATACATGATGATGTATATATGAATATATTTAATGGTGCTATAAAAGATAGGAGTAGAAAACACCGAAAAGTGTTAACATAGCAAGGCCCTAGCTTCTGAAACACACACACACACACAGCTATGTTTACCTACAGATAAGGGAGCAGTACTAAGGTAACAAACTATGAGATATGCCAAAGGTTCATGGACCACAAAGAATACGTGATGGAGAAGGTGAGCATTGGCCCCACAGAGAGATGGAAAGCCTATGCCATGTTGACTGTGGGCCAAGGCTCCATCACCCATTGGTTCTACTTATGAAATAGAGAGGGGTGGGAATCCTGTTTCCCAGGTAGGAAGTTTCTCTAACTAGCAAGTTTCAGTGGTGGGCAAGTATATTTGCCCCTTTACGTCCCATAAATAGCTGTTTGTTGCCAGCTGTGGGCGCCCTTCTCAAATCTCAGTGTTAGTTCTTGTTAGCAGGTGATAACAGAACTGCTGACGAACCGGGACAGAGGCAGACCTAAAGGCCTGTGCACACACACGCTGAAGCAGGTGAGAATACACACACAGAGCACACACTTAGGCAGCTGGTTGTCATTTGCACATTTTACTCTGCTGATTGAGGCCTCTGGGACAGCTTGCCTGGTAGTGTGTCTGGTTGGCACTACAAAGAAATCTTCAAACAACAGCTTAGGTCAACAAAAATGCACAAAGTAGCTATTACTAGCTCTTTTTCTGTACTCACAGGGACCTAGTTGAAACACAGCTGCCTGTTTCTCTCCTGAAGAAGAGATGAGTGAATAAGATGACTGGTCAGACACTATTGTGGTCACGGTTATAATGCAAGGTCACTGTATTTAATGACAGCACTCAAGGAAACTGATGGTACCGTGGCCCATAAAGCTTAACAACTTCACTTTCTTCTACATCAGATACTATATGTCAATTCTAAAGATACTAGAAACTTTAAAGTATTTTTGAAATTTTTGGAGAAAACCCCAAACTGAAGAAGTTCTGTCCAGAGCTTGATCATTGTGTATTAGAAAACTACCTTCATTATTTAGACAGCAGATGCAGAATCACCAGCACAGGTGACATCGCTGTGATAGTGCTGGCCGGGCTGAAAGCTGTTTAAGCTTGCAAAACGTAAAACCTGTCAAAGACAGCAAACCCTACAAGGAATTCTTACATTTGAAGCTTTGGTTTACCTTCGTCTTCATACCAAGAATAAGACAAATTCTTTTTGGATTACAAAGAGTCTTTTGAAATTACAATTATTTTGTTGCTACTTTTACATTCTTCATTCCAGAAAAAAACCAAAAACAGCCAGCAAAACTAAAATTAGGAAATATGAAATTTCACCAGTAAAGCTAACCAGCATTTATTCCTTTTGTACTCTACAGGAAGATTAATTTGAAAGGCTTGTGGAACACTAAATTATCCCTTAACAGTAAAACGTTCAAAACAAAAATCATGAAATCCCAACATTAACAAACAGGAAAATAAGTCCAGAATGTTCTACATAAAATATTTAAGAAACAACAGTGACCCCTGGCTGCCCGTCTCTAGGGAAGGACATAGAGTACAGGCTGCAATGCATCTTAAGTCTGTTAGATAAGGTACTAGAAGCTATAAGGGATGAGACACCATAAGACTGGTACCAGGAGAGAAAGCGTAGGGTTTTAACCTCACAGATCCTGCTGGGAACCACAGCACTTCTGCTTACTTCAGGGCTAAGGACTGCTGTGCTGTCGCTAGGGACGTCATCTTCATATCCTTTATTGTGATAGCTCTCAGCCTCGTGACCTGTGCTCCCTTCACTGGGGCACTTGTTGAAAGAACACCGTGGGCTGTTGCTGCAGTGGGAAATCTCACACTTGGCATCCCCGATTTCTGAAGGTGTGCATGAGAGGTGAGGAGAACCACTATCGTCTTGGTAGGGTGGAGGCTGCAGCTCATCCAATGGAGGTGTCCTCCTCATTCTCTGAATGCAGTTTCCTGACAAGGACAAGAGTGTGGTCATTGTTTCCAATCAGTTTCAGTCCTGTAACTGCAAACAACTTTAAAATGTGAAGTAAATACTCAACAGCAAAAACAGTTAAAATTCGTAAGTGAGTTTTCTCTTTCCTTAATCCAGGCACAGAAATAAAACCACCTAGCTTTCCACTCTCCTCTCACATAATAAGATCAGGGAAAAATAAAAGCCATATATTGTTATGAACCTTAGAAAGAAACCTGATCAGAACTGTCTGTTGACTGAGCCTCTCTCCCCAAGCATTCCCAGTGCTATGTGGAATTCATAAGTTCCCTTGCAATGGATGGCCTCTTGAGGGGGATATAAAAGCATGGTGGGTAAAACAAATGAACTCCATGACTTTCTCAGTTACGGGGATAAATTCAGCTTAGCACTTTTCCACATCTACTTGGTTTTAGAACCGTAAATAAGCCATGTTCAGTATCTGCTCAAGTCTCCACTTCCAGGAGTGATATGAAGCCGCATTTTCTCCCTCAATTAGATTGTCTTTTAATTTTTTTGCTTTAATAATCTGCCTCATCTTCAATTAAAACTAAACACATCTATAAAAATAGATAAGGATGGAGGCGATGTTCGAGCGTCTCTGCCAGTCAAAGATAGTTGGTATATCTAGGTTGGGTATGGGTTACACTTCTGATTGTATGGGCATCATGTTATTAAACATTACCAAACTTATAAAGCCTTTGATTAACATTTTTTAAAAAGTTACTAATTAAAAAAAAAAGGATGAGGAGGGAGGGTGATAGAATACATGTGACAAGAAATCAGATGAGGAAACTAGCTGGAGGAAGAAAGGGAAGGAGCAGAGGGAAACAAATCAGAACTCTAAAGACACATGTATGAGGATGCTGTAATAAAACTCAGTACTTTGTATGTTAACTTAAAATACTAATAAATAAAAAAAAAGCAAGAAGGAGGGGGGGATAGGATAGGGGGTTTCTGGGGGAGGGATGGGGAAAGGAGATGGCATCTGAAATGTAAATAAATAAAATATCCAATAAAAAAATCTTAAAAAAAGAAAATAGATAAGAGATTGACACATATTATACATTTTATGATCTAATAAACATAGTTTTAAAAACATGACCATTTTTCCATTTTCTTTCTAAGAAATTAATCCCTCTTAATTCTCATCTACCCTCAAAATAATGGATTTATTTATTTATTTATTTATTTATTTATTTATTTTTGGGTTTTTGAGACAGGGTTTCTCTGTGTAGCCCTGGCTGTCCTGGAACTCACTCTGTAGACCAGGCTAGCCTCAAACTCTCGAACTCAGAAATCCGCCTGCCTCTGCCTCCCAAGTGCTGGGATTAAAGGCGTGCACCACCACTGCCCGGCCAAAATAATGGTTTTTGAACACTCCAAAATATATTAAGTCTAGATGCTATGGTATATGCATATATTGTCACTAATACACACAAGTGAGATAAGAGAACTAGGGAACTGTATAGCTATTCTGGTCTCAGTTTACAATTTAAGTAGATAAGGTTATGTAGATAGATCCAGAATTCAGTGTTGAATAATAAAGTTAAGCACTGCTCCTACAGCAGGTAGTTTAAGTAAAACCACTATAGAGATCAGTTCAAATACTCAATATAGCGCTTCCTTAAAATTGACATAAAAATGAAAGCCCCTGTGTAAAAAATACCAAAGTCCTCATTCAAAATAAAACATATTAATGCCTTAACCATAAATTTACATAGTTAATCAAAAGTCCCGATTTTAAATAAAGAATTGTACCTACTGAGGCTAGTACACTAACTTTAAAATGTTATCAAAACAATGCAGTTGAACCCAAACTAGAGAGGACCCACTAGTTACCACAATCACGTGGCAGCCAAGACTGTAAGAGCCCAGTGGCTTTGCCCAGCTGCATGGCACAACCCACACAGGGAGCCTGTGCTCCCAGCAGTGCTCCAGCTGCATTTGCTAACGGCTCATGCAGAAGGTTTCAGCCTGGGTGCCTGAACTGCTTTGGCTTTCCTGATAGAGAAGGGACACTCAATTGGCATCTCCTCCTTTATCCTGCTTGAGGTTCAGAAGCCACATTGTGACTGAAAAGTGACAAGCTTGAGAAAGAGCTCTGAGGAGAAGCAAAATCAAAAACAAACAAACAAGCAAACAAAAAACAACGATAAAAAAAAAGTCATCCAGGAGAGCCTGGGTATCAAAAACATTACCACAGCTTTTGAAGACCAAGGAAGACAAACTGACAAATTAAAAACACGAAAGTAAACACCATGGCTTCCTTTTCTGTATATAGCTACAAATACAGCCTCAACTGACACAGTTTAACTTATTAATCAATACTTTCTTATCTTCTAAATGTCATACTTAATCTGCCAATGAGTTAAATTAGATAAGACCTATATAACCACTGCCATAGTCAAGAACTTTGCAGGTTTAAGCACATATAGTAGAATGTGTGGGAACTTCAAGAAAATAAAACAAAAATGGTAAATTAAACTGAAAATAGAAGGTGTAAAATAAAAGCAGAAAAATAAATTTTAAAAAATGTATAGATTAGAAAACATTAGCAAATGAAAACATAGTTCACTAAAAACAGAAATAAAGTTGATACATTGCTAGAACAGAGTAGTTAGAAAAGAAAAACTGGTAGTGTAAGTTATTAATGTTAGGAATGAAAGAGGTCAGGATTTCAATTCTTACGGGAATTCACACAAGCAAGGGAGGTGTGTATGCCTTGCCCAGAACAGTGATGCAGACAAGGCAGCTGAGCCAAGGAAGAGCCCTGACCATGGTGCTGAATTGCAGAAGGAGGCTAGCATCTGTGGGATAGGTGGTGAGCATTCACTGAAGTTCATGTTGAGGGCCATCTGTAAGTGGGAGGTAAACCAAACAGATAAATGAAGCTAGAGGAGAAAGCCTGTGTGTGGTCTGATGCTCAAAGAACAGATACTCTCAGGTTAATGTAGCCAGGTCTTTTACTGTTAAATAAAGGAGTTAGAATATGGGAAGAAAGCTAGAGCCAACTCTGATGACTTAAAAATGAACTAAAGAGAAAATACTGTTACTGTGTTGGTTAGCTTATATCAACTTGACACAAGCTAGAGCCATCTTGGAAGAGGAAGCATTAATTGAGAAAAATATCCCAATTAGACTGGTCTGTGGGCAAGCGTGTTGAGCACTCTCTCAGTTGAGTACTGATGTGGAAGGGGAGCGGCTCACAGTGGTACCACTCCTGCACTGGTGGTCCTGGGTGCTGTAAAGAAGCAGGGTGAGCAAGCCAGGCAGCAGTATTCCATGTCTTCCACATCGGCTCCTGTGTCCAGTTCCTGCCCTGCTTGAGTTCCTGACCTGACTTCTCTGGATTATGGACTACATCATGCAGTTGTAAGATGAAATAAACCCTTTCCTCCCCCAGCTGCTTTTGGTCATGGTATTTTATCACAGCAACAGAAACACTAATTAAGGTATGTACTCAATTAACACAGTACAGATGTACATGTGTGTTCATGCTTATACACACAGCCATGCAATAAACATTCTAAGGCTTCCCAATGAGATTTGAGAATGTCATTACCCTAGCAGCAGTGAGCCCAGTGCCCACAGGTTGATTTTTCTATCTATATTCAATATTACAAACAACTGGAACCGCCCAAAGCAATGGCCAATTCTAGAGCTGTGTTGGGGAAAGTACAAGATGAGTGCAGGAAGGCTGTGGATGTTGAAACACATTCAAAGAGTGAGTGGCAAGGACACAGCAAAAGAACAAACAGGTAGCATCAGACAGCTGCCATCAGCCAGAGTCTAGGAACAATGGGGTTTCTAAGCAGACAGCTACAGTAAAGAATTATTGTTTCATCAAAGGAAAGAGGAGACTGTGAGTCCACACGGATACAAGTGAGTGGTCAGAGGATCTTTGAGGAAGAAGATGAGTATACGGCCTCAAAGTTTACAGTAAGGAGGATAGTAGCACCTGCATTAATGACTATTAGGTAAGGCTGTGTATCACCTGAGGAAACATTAGAAACAAGACTCTGAAAGCAGAATGCCCGTCACAAAATAACTAACCAGTGATTTAAAATAGGCCCAGAAAGACCAAGGAAATCACATGATCTAATACTAACTACAAAACCCCCCCAACAAAATAATAACAAAAACACCTCATTTTTAAAAGCTCCTAATAGAAACTATAGGCTCAGATAGCTTCCCCAGTGAACTAACCTTTGAAGGAAGACAAAACCCTAACAATCTTGCACAATATATTCCAGATAACATTAAAGATAGATGATTGCCTAAATAATTTTTATTACATCAGCATAATGTGACACCAAGACTTAAAAAATAATCTCTCAAAGAAAAAGTGTTAGCTAAATCATCTTGTAAAGGTAGACATAAAACCTTTCAGAATATATGCTCTGTAATTCCAGAGCCACACAGGCAGCACTGTATCAAACCAACTTGGTTAACTTCGTAGGAATGCTGTGTTCTAAGTGAATTTAACATTCAAAATTTTACCATTCAAATTTATTACACAAAAATATTAACAGTAAAAAATACTATATTAACTGTAATTTTTTTAAAAGTACTTGGTAAAATTTATTACCCATTCATTATAAAATCTGAGAAATTAAGAAATTCCCTCTCTCACCTACAGATAAGTCCTACAACAAATGTCATATTTGATGGTGAAGGGTTGAAGGCTTTACCTCTGAGTTCAGGAACAAGAGTATCTGTTATCAGTACTTCTACTCAACAACACACCAGGGCGCTTTCTAGCCAGTGCAATAAGGCAGGATCAAGAAGGTAGAAAATGAAAGGAAAGAAATAAAATTGCCAGTAATTTCAGGTAATTATCATAACATAAAACAACAAAAAAAGAGAGAAAGACGGGGGAAAGAAGAAGGACTTGTTATACTAAATTAAGTTCAACGTGGTCTCAGCTTAGAGATTAGTAGGTGAAAATTAGCAGCTGAATTTCTATGCACATGCAAAG